TTTTCCTAAGAGAAGATCTGAAGAAGTGGATAAGACAGGATGGAAGCAGGATACAGGAGAGTAGGGGAGGGAGAATATGCAAACAACACATTATACCTATGTATGAAACTATCAAAAATAATGGCAAAAAAAGAGTAAGGCAATCATGCAAAAACAAAAGACAGTAAATGCCAGTAAGAAACTGGAAAAAGAGGAATATTTACATGCTTCAGGTTGTCACTTAAATTCATTCAGTTGCTATGAAAACAAGCTTGGAATTTCCTTAAAATATTAAAAGTAGTACTAGAATTTGAACTAAATATAGCACTCCTGGTGCTCACCTAATGAAATCTAAGTCAGCACACCAGAAAGCTAGTTACACATCCATTTTTATCACTGCAGTATTCACAAAAGAGAAGAAATGAAACAAGCCTAAATGCCCATCAACTGATAAATAGATAAAGAAAACATGGCAACCCATGGTAGAGCTGGAGTGGTTGGAGGAGCCAGAGTGTTTGAGGACACCAGGATAACATGGCCCCTAGAATCAACTAAGCAAGGCTCAGTGTCTCACAGAGCCTGAAACAGCAATCAGAGACTGCATGGGTCTATGTGTGCTAAGTCCTCTATGGATATGGTGTGGGTACTTAGCTTGGGTTTTTGTGGAACTCCCAACATTGGGAATAGAAATGTTTCTGATTCCTTTGCTAGCTCTTGGGACCCTTTGATCCTACTGGGTTTCCTCATCCAGAACTGAAATGAGGTTTGTGCCTAGTCTTATTTCATCTTGTGATGCTGTTTTCAGTTGATATCTTTGGAAGCCTGCAGGAGGAGAGGCTTGAATCGCCTCTACTAAATGAACTAGCCTCTGCCGACTCCCCATGGGAGGCCTTACCTTGTTGGAGGAGGGAATGGGAGTTGGTGTAGGGGAAGATTGGATGCGCAGGAGGAGGGAAGGTACGTGGATATGTGGTTGGTATATAAAATGAATACAAAATTCCTTAATAAAAAATAAAATAAATAAATGTATTTAAGATCAGGGAAAGGCTATATAGAGAGAAATCATAAAATACTTTACATTAGGACTTTGCTTTATAAGTAATGATTTTAAAGCCATGTTGTAGCAGGAATCTTAGAAGGTCTTATTAATAAAATCAAACCTGAGCCAGGTACTGGGGTGAATGCTGAAAGATCAGAGAGACAGAACAAGCCACAGCTACCTCACCTGGCCAACTTCTCAGCTGATCTTGTTTCCTCAGACTGGAAGCCTCTGTGTCCTCATATCCAAATGGCTCTCAGCTGAACTGTGCTGCTCAAAAGCCAGAATGCTTAATCAGCCAAATGCTTCTAGTTTCTGGTCCTCACGCCTTATATACCTTTCTGCTTTCTACCACCACTCCCTGGGATTAAAGGCTCGATTTCTGGGATTAAAGGCATGAGTCACCACGCTTGGCTGTATCTCTGAACACATGGATTTCTGTCTCTGGAATGCTAGGATTAAAGGCATGTGCTACCACTGCCTATCCTAAGTATCTAGTGGCTTTTCTGTTCTCTGACCCCAGATAAGTTTATTAGGGTACTCAATATTTTGGGGAACACAATACCACCACACCATGTGAATAATATCCTGCCAATGAGTTCTTCTAGCAATGGTATATCATTGGCAATCTTTTCCATATTAAGAGAATCATGGCATGGACATATGGTGAAAACTGAAGGTCCAAAGCTTGCAAGAAGAGTTTCAGAAAATCATTTGAATAAAGTAACTTATTTTTTATCCTGGTGGTTTATTTCTAGTGATGTTTATTGTAACTGAGTTTAATACTTTGCTCTCAGTAGAAAAGAACCTGAAATTTGTAATGTTGATGGGAACATAGTAATTTAAAATAATTGAAAGTTATATGAAAGTAAGACAAAGCAGAATAAGTACATAGATTAGGAGTCAACCCCAGTTGATGATACAGGATGTTCCCCCATGTCATTAGGTGAGGAGAAAGGAGGCACTGGTCAGCAAAAGTCCACAGCAAGATGTGAGGGAATAACTTTGATTGATGGAGAAAGTACTCTCCACCCCATTAAACAGACATTTATTTCCCTTGCACTCAATTCACATTGACCCCCAGTCAGTGCTCCAATATGAGCACTGTATTTTCTTGCAAATCCACCCTGAATCCCCATACTTAGTGTCTAGTCCATGACACTGCAATGTATGTGTTGCTGTACTTCCCATTCATAGTCCATTTCTGTGTTGATCCTGTCTACAGCTGTGACAAGCATCAAACACCAGTATTCCAAGGACCACAAAGACCAAGCCAGCCATCCCCATTCTGAGCAGATTCTCCACTGTGTGATGATCCTGTGTTTCTGAGTCTGTGGTTGTGAAGAAAGAATGAAGGGAAGAAGAAAATCACCCGAGGAAGATCAGATATCAAAACCCTCAGAAAAACTGTATGAGTGAGAATTCTTACTCACCTGTCTTTGGTTTGGTCATGTTTTGTGATACAGTGATGTTCTCATCAGTTCCTAGGTATAGAAGACAAGGTAGACAATTAATGAAGTTCTTAAGAGAGCAGAGTGTCTTCTCTGAAGTCAACATTCATATTCTCTGTAATTTTCATTTAGTATAATTGCATATTAGCCAAATCACAAAACTTCAGAAGGATCCAGTATCAATCCTTCCCCTAGGGTGCCATGATTCCTTCTGGATTCTTCACTCACATCGAGCTGTTTGAGTTCATGCTTCAGACTAAGACACTTGAGCATGAAGTTTATATCAAGAACTAAGTATCAGTGTAGAAAATCTAAGTATCGGTGTAGAAAATCACCTCCCATTTCCAATTCAGAATTAAGGAAGCCTTTTTATGCTTTCTGTTCAGTCTGGAGCATGGAAATATGCAACCAAATCATGAGGGAGGAATTGTGTGTGAAGTCCATACCAAGTCCTTGTGTTCACTACCTCTTACTCATATTGCCATGCAATGTAAGACTGACTCCTATCTCTCCTAGACATTTTACCTGCTGGTCACCAAGCAGGAAGGCACATTGTGGAGGCTTAAATGCAAGAAATCCAAACTTCAACTGTGTTCTCTACTCTGAAAATAAAAATGCATGAACTGAAAGGAAAGAGCCAGAATGACTTGCCCTGGTCCTGATGCATACCCATACACAATGTCACCATCACAGTATCAGATAGGGAATGACAATTTCAAAAGAGGTTTCTGGAGAATTTATCTGTGTGAGAAAGACACAGATAAGGTCAGAACTAAAAGAAACTTAACATCTAGGCCAGGGATTGCCAATTTCCTATTGCAGAAACTGAGAATCCTAAAGGAGAGGGGCTTTTACATGTGTCTGTCCAACGCAGAAGAGAATCCATCTATCCCACATTTAGATTGAGTCCCTGGATCAATCCTGCAACAGAGTTCTAGTATAGACCTCTATGGTCAGACTCCAGGGGGTGAAGGGAGGGTCTAACCTGTTGTGGGTGATACCATCCTTGAGATGTTGGTCCTGGGTTCTATATAAAAGCAGGCTGAGCAAGCCATGAAGAGCAAACCAGTGAGCAGCACCCTACAAGGGTTTCTGCCTCAAAACCTGTTTTCAGGGTCCTGACCTATTTAAGTTCCAGTCCTGACTTCTTTAAGGATTAACAGTGCTGTGAAAGTGTAAGTCAAATAAACCTTTTCCTCCACAACTTGCTTTTGGATTGTGGTATTTCATTTCAACACTAGAAACCCTAACGAAGATAATTCCCTCTTCTGTTCTTTCTCTGTCAGTGTCATGGGCTCTCCCCTCTGAGCAATAGATGCCAAGCGCTCCCTTCAGCCATCATGACTGGAACCATCCTCAGGGCAGCAGAGCTAGTGATAAAGGGTTCTCATGATGAAAACAGTGGAGTGAATGAGACTTACTCACCTGAGACAAATATCTCCAGAGGGTTACTGGCCACTGACCAGATATGTGGTCTACTTTTGAAGTATCCATAATATCTAAAGGGCCCCCTCTTGTTGGATGTCACAGGGATCTCAGGAAACAGAGCCTGGGACTGTCCAGTGTGTGTGTGTACTGAGTCTTGAGGGACCTGGAGAAATTCTCTTCTTCCCCAGTTACAATGAACCAATCATATCTTTTTGATGAGACACATTGGAGGGTCACCCTCCCACCTGAGGTAAACACAGGGCTGGGCCACACTGATAGAGTAGGTTTACCATGGAGGACCTTTAGTAAAAAGAGGACACAGCCTATTAAATGATACATTGGCACCAGCAGTTGGACTGTAGGTAAAAGATTTGGAAAATATATTTCCTGAGGGAAAATTTAGAGGACTTGATGTACTTGATCTCACAAAAAACATGGTAGAAATCAGGAAAATTATCTATGCAGTGTGTCTGCTCAACTGATGGAATAAATACCTGTTTTCTATCAAGAGACCTGGGAGTAGATGTTGTTAATAACCAGGGGGACATCAATCTGTAGCTCTAAACCTCACCTGAATACCCCAGAATGTTTATCCTAGACTCTGGATCCCTAGACTTTGTCATTAGCTCTCAGTTAATGAACGTCATTCCTAGGGAAGATGTCACATACACTTTATAGCCGGCTGACATCTACATTATCTTGGTCAGAGACCACACCAGATTATAGGTCCGTTGGCTGTAGAACCCCTCTTCAAGGTCACTATTGAGTAGAGTTTTGATGCAATAAGACCTAGTTGTTCACGGGATTTTCTATTACACCAGGAATCTTTTTGTCCAAATTTGTACTGTGTTTAAATTTGCTACAATCAACCACCTGGTGTCATAATTTTTAGAAGTGTGAACCAGCAATAACTATGTCAGTGTGATCTAAATTTTCCTTGTTATTGAATGTGGGTTATACTTTGCCAGCAGCAGAGCTTTCAGGGACCAACACACAGAAAATGTGAGGACTGTGACCCTTAGTGTCCACTCACCTGTCACCACCAGCTCTAGGGAGTCACTGTGTTGTGTCCACCCAGCAGAGTTATAACAGTAACAGTGATATCATCCTGCATTATACTCTGTCATGGATGGGATGGAAAACTTGGCCCTGTGATCAGGTACTGGTGCAGTCAATCTGCCCCAGGGTGCTGGGCTTCCTTCTTTATACAGGAAATATATTTGAGTCTCCATGGTTCCCTCACACCAGATTGTCACAGGATTCCCTGAGGTGATCACAGAGCCTGGCTCAGCCCAGATGCTGGGTTTCTGGAGGGTCCCTGAAAAGAGGAAAGTGAGAGGAATGTGGGAATTTATACACTTGCACAGTGGATATGATACTTGGACTTGACATTTGAATAACAGGATACATGGAACCCTCTGAAGACCCTTCTCTCTCTCTCTCTCACCTCACTGTCCCAAATTCCCTTCTCAGAACACCCCTCAGTACTTTCTGTATCTTGACTCCCATAATTGGCATGCTGTATATGTGGGTTCAGGAACCTGTCCATCCCTGTACTTATCACACACTAGGGTCTCCTAGAGAAACCTGCTTCATGTTCAATGTCATTCAAGCCTGGGGCTTGCTCACCTGAGACTAGAAGCTCCAGGATGTTACTCCCTTTTGACAATAAATGGGGCTCTCCTGAGTAATAGCCATAGCATCTGAAACTCCATCTTTCACTGAATGTGATGGGACCCACTTGGAACCTGGCTGGAGACTGACCAGTATATACATATTTTGAGCCCATGGAGCTGGAGAACTGCTCATCCTTAATTAAAATAAACCTGTCGTAACTCTGTTTTGAGATACATGAAAGGGTCACAGATCCTCCTAAGGTTACAACAGGGTTTGGCAGTGCAGACAGGGTGGGTTTGTAGTAGACACCTAGGAGAGATACATATGGAATATTAAATGAGTTCACACAGTCTGGATTGTCCCTCAGAACTGAGTAATCAGTGGGGATACATTCAGAGCAGATTTTCTAAAGAGTCACATCTGGGAATTCATATGATTCCTCAGTAACTACTCATCTGTCACCAACAACTCCAGGGAGGCACTGTGCTGAGTTGTTGGTCCTCGTATAACAGAAGGACACATGGAACCATCTGAACATCCATCTCTCTGCTGACCCTGCCAGGCTCCCTTCTCAGAACATCCTTCAGTGCTTTCTGTATATTGACTCCCTAATCTGCATGCTATATATGTAGGCTCAGGAACCTGTCCTTCCCTGTACTTATCACACATTAGGGTCTCCTGGGGAAAACTGTTTCAAGTTCAATGTAATTCAATAGGGAGTCTGGAGCTTCCTCACCTGAGACTAGAAGCTCCAGGATGTCACTACCTTCTGACCACACTTGAGGCTTGCTTGCATGATAACCATAGCATCTGAAACGCCATCTTTCTCTGAGAGTGATGGGACCCACTTGGAATCTGGCTGAAGAATGGCCATCATATACATATTGTGAGTCCATGGAGCTGTAGATCTGCTCATCCTTAATTAAAACAAACCCATCATATCTCTGATTTGTGGTACATGAAAGGGTCACAGATCCTCCTAAGGCTACAACAGGGTTTGGCAGTGCAGACAGGGTGGGTTTGTTGTAGACACCTAGGAGAGATACATATGGAATATTAAATGAGTTCACCCAGTCTGGATTGTCCCCCAAACCTGAGTAAGGAGTGGGGATACATTCACAGAAGACTTTTCCAAAGACTCACATCTGGGAATTCATATGATTCCTGAGTATCTACTCACCTGTCATCACCAGCTCCAGGGTGTCACTCTGCTGTGTCCACCCAGCAGAATTGTAACTGTAACAGCTATATCGTCCTGCATTATACTCTCTCATGGATGGGATGGAAAACTTGGCCTTGTGATCAGGTACTGGTGCAGTCAATCTACCCCAGGGTGCTGCGCTTCCTTCTTTATACAGGAAATATATTTGAGTTTCCTTAGTTCCCTCACACCAGATTGTCACAGGATTCCCTGAGGTGATCACAGAGCCTGGCTCAGCCCAGATGCTGGTTTTCTGGAGCGTCCCTGAAAAGAGGTAAGTGAGACGGATGTGGGACTTTAAACAGTTGTACAGTGAATGGGAAACAGAGACGTGACCCTTGAATAACAGAAGGACACATGGAACCTTCTGGAGATCCATATCGTTGCTCACCCTCCCATGTTCTGTTATCACAGCACCTCTCATTGGATTCTGTATCTTGACTCCCAGAGTCTGCATCTGTATCTGTGGGCTAATACAAATGTCCTTCCCTGTGCTCACCACCATAGGGACACATAGAGCCCTCTGAAGACCTGTCACACTCCTCACCCTCCCAAGTTCCCTTTTCAGAACACCCCTCAGTACTTTCTGTATCTTGACTCCCATAATTGGCATGCTGTATATGTGGGTTCAGGAACCTGTCCATCCCTGTACTTATCACACACTAGGGTCTCCTAGAAAAACCTGTTTCATGTACAATGTCATTCAAGCCTGGGGCTTGCTCACCTGAGACTAGAAGCTCCAGGATGTTACTCCCTTTTGACAATACATGGGGCTCTCCTGAGTAATAGCCATAGAATCTGAAACTCCATCTTTCACTGAATGTGATGGGACCCACTTGGAACCTGGCTGGAGACTGACCAGTATATACATATTTTGAGCCCATGGAGCTGGAGAACTGCTCATCCTTAATTAAAATAAACCTGTCGTATCTCTGTTTTGAGATACATGAAAGGGTCACAGATCCTCCTAAGGTTACAACAGGGTTTGGCAGTGCAGACAGGGTGGGTTTGTAGTAGACACCTAGGAGAGATACATATGGAATATTAAATGAGTTCACACAGTCTGGATTGTCCCTCAGAACTGAGTAATCAGTGGGGATACATTCAGAGCAGATTTTCTAAAGAGTCACATCTGGGAATTCATATGATTCCTCAGTAACTACTCATCTGTCACCAACAACTCCAGGGAGGCACTGTGCTGAGTTGTTGGTCCTCGTATAACAGAAGGACACATGGAACCATCTGAACAACCATCTCTCTGCTGACCCTGCCAGGCTCCCTTCTCAGAACATCCTTCAGTGCTTTCTGTATATTGACTCCCTAATCTGCATGGTGTATATGTAGGCTCAGGAACCTGTCCTTCCCTGTACTTATCACACATTAGGGTCTCCTGGGGAAAACTGTTTCAAGTTCAATGTAATTCAATAGGGAGTCTGGAGCTTCCTCACCTGAGACGAGAAGCTCCAGGATGTCACTACCTTCTGACCACACTTGAGGGTTGCTTGCATGATAACCATAGCATCTGAAACTCCATCTTTCTCTGAGAGTGATGGGACCCACTTCAAATCTGGCTGGAGACAGCCCATCATATACATATTGTGAGTCCATGGAGCTGGAGAACTGCTTGTCCTTAATTAAAATGAACCTATTGTATCCCTGATGTGAGATACATGAGAGCGTCACAGATCCTCCTAAGGCTACAACAGGGTTTGGCAGTGCAGACAGGGTTGGTTTGATATAGAAACCTAGGAGAGATACATATGGAGTATTACGTGGGTTCACACAGTCTGGATTGTCCCCTAGACCTGAGTAATGAGTGGGGATACATTCAGAGAAGAATTTTCCAAAGGGTCACATCTGGGAATTCATATGATTCCTGAGTATCCACTCACCTGTCACCACGAGCTCCAGGGTTTCACTGTGTTCTGATATGCCAGCAGGGCTTTTATAATAACAGTGATATTGGCCTGCATCATTACTTTTAATGGATGAGATAAAGATCTTGTCCTTTTTTTCAGTGTCTTCATGAGCTGTTGGTACCTGGGAATGTGGCTTACCTTCTTTATAGAAATGGTATTCTTGGGCATCTAAGGGACCTTCACAAAGTAGAGTTACCTGCTTCCCAATGGTTACCACATTACTTGGCACAGCTCTGAGTGTGGGTTTTGAGAGGCCCCCTAAAAACAAAACAAAACAAAAGCAAAACAAAAAACAAAACAAAGCAAAGCAAACAAAGAAAATAACAACAAAAAATGGGAGCTAGGTCAGAGGACATCCTGCTTAATTGTAAGCTCTCAATCTCAGGAACTTCTACGCAACAACACTAACAGCCCACACCAGCTCTTCTCCATCTCTATTCTTCAGAGGTGACCTTTGATCCCCATTGAGAACGTACACTTTAGAAAACCTGGGAAGACACTCACCTGCCAGCACTTGGTTCCTGGGGCCAGGACTCAGTCCTGCAAGAGAGTTACCTGTGAGTGTATGTACTTGAAGCCTGAGCAGGACCTCCACTTCCAGATGCCTTCTGAGCTACTGAGACACCCTGATGGATTACTGCTCAATTGTGAGGTAGACCACTCCTTAGAACAGAATTCTCTCTCCACAACTTCATTTCTCACCAAGACAAAGCAGAACTATGAGGGTGGGGATCATAGCATCTTCCAGTTGTCAAAAGTTTGCAGATGGTTCGTCCTCTTGCCAAAAGAACAGACACAAAGTATATTGCCTGTGCAGTATGGTGCCTCCTTGTCAAGAGTATGTTATACAGGCAGTCCTTGCAAAAACAGGAACTGCTCTTTCTAGGCAAGTGGCTTTTGTTTTCCCACTGCAGTGAAGGGTGGGGCTGCAAAACATGTGCTCTCTGTTCCTGGGGGTTTCGTTCCTTTTGGTTTTGGTTTCTGACAGGAAGTCTCCTGAAACTCTGGCAGGTCTCAATCTGCTCCCCTGATCAGTCAGCTTCCTGAGAGATTGGTTTACAAACTCATATCTGATTTTGTTATCTTCTTGCAGAGCATCTCCCATATACCTTTTACATTTTCTTGGATGGTCCTCTTCACCAACGACAATGACTTAACAAGAAATAATCCTGGCATCTTTCTGAACCAACACCTTCAGCTGAGGGGGCTCAGAGCTGATCTTTTCCTGTCAGACTTTCTGCTTGGTTCTCTATCATGTCAGCCAGATGACACTCAAAATGCTGTAGGTTCTTTTATCATGGCCAGCTTCCTACCCAACCCTAGATATGCTTTGAGTAATTTGTGGGGAATTTTCTTGGGGATACATGAATACTGAATGGCTATTTCCCAAGAAGGTACATCAATGACAGAGACAAAGACATGATTTTATCCAAAACAAGTGGGTGAAACAATGAGTTTTATAAGTGTTCCTAAGAGGGATATGAGCAAACATTTTCAAATTTGTTTTTTCTTTGAGACAGGGTCTCACTGTTTACCTCTAGATGTTCTTGAATGCACGCTGTAGAAATGATGGACCTTGGACTCATGAAACCTGAAGGAAGGTTCATTTCCCACAAGCTAACCCGGTTTGACAATGGTGGGTTAGCATCTAGCCTTGATCTGCCTTGTGTGATTCTTCCCCCTGTCTCCATACCTTCTGTTTAAAGTTTTATCTGAGAGTTTTTCTATGGATCAAAGCCTATGCAAACTTAGTAACAAGAACAACAACAAAAAAACCTATGGTAAGAAGGAGAATTTGCATTTGGCATTATCCCTCTTGGTGGCGTAGAACAAAGACTTTGGTATATGGAATTGGCTTACTAAAGATGTGATTTGTAAAACAATAAAGGATCCTTTACTTACCAGTGGTTGTACAGTACATAGAAGTGAATCCACCCTACAGCTAGAAGAGGAGAAAAATTCATCTCTTGATGTGCCTCTGTACAACTTTTCACATATCTGGCTGAACATATACCCATACTCAATATACAAGATATTAATGCACAATGTGGAGCTTAAAGAAGGACAAAGGATTCCATACATCTCTGAGGACTGAAGGAAATCACTCTCAGTGTAAGGGGACTGGAAGATTAGCAGGAGTTCATGGGAAATATCTTTCTCAGGAGCAACAGAATTGCAATTATTAAAATGTCAGTTAATACTCCCCTGGGGATTCAGCTCAACCTGGTAGATTCAGTCCAGGCAGGTCCAGTCCCCTCCTCCCAGGCAGAGAAAAGTAGCCCTGCATAAGCCCCAGGTTCCAAAGAGCCAGCTCATGCACTGTGGAAAGGGGGGAGGGGGAGGACAGGGAAATATGTGGCTGATATGTAAAATTAATAAACTATAAAATAAATAAATAAATAAATGTCACTCAATAGGAAATGGAGGGAAAGTGAAGGAAAAACAGCTTACGTAGGTTTTGGTATTAATTAAACAGCATGGGCATTAATTTCAGGCAACTCCTCATGTTCAAATATAACTGAAGATATGGAAGCAAGTGTTGAGAACTTTGAGGAGAGCTCATCAGAAAGAAGAGTCAATACCAAGCTATAGTAGAGCTTGAAGTCAGGGATGGTGATGCCTCCAGAAGTTCCTTTACTGTACATGATTGTTTGAGCTATCCTGGGTTTTTTTTCTTTTTCCAAATGAAGTTGAGTATTGTTCTTTTGAGGTCCACTAACTAAATATAACACCAGTAGCACAGACACTGAGAGGAACAATTAATAAATGGAAGCTCCTGAAACTGAGAAGATTCTGTAAGGGAAAGGACATGATAAATATGACAAAACGTCAGCCTACAGAATGGGAAAAGATTTAAACCGACCTCACATCTGACTGGGGGCTGACATCCAAATACATAAAAAACTCACAAAACTAGACATCAAAATACCAAACAATCCACTTAAAAAATGGGCTACAGATCTAGACAGAGAATTCTCATCAAAAGAATCCCAAATGACTGAAAGACATTTAAGGAATTGTTCAACATTCTCATTCATCAAGGAAAATACAATAGAAGGACTCTGAAATACTGTCATACACGTGTCAGTATGGCTAAGATCAAAAACACTGAATATAACTTATGTTGGAGAGTATGTGGAGCAAGGGGAACACTCCTACACTACTAGTGGGAGTGTAAACTTGTACAGCTACTTTGGAAATCAGGATGGTGAGTTCTCAGATGACTAGACTGCTACTCACAACTTCAGGGAGGCTACCTAGTAAACAGGACCCCAAGAAAGAAACAGGGATCCCCAATGACAGAGAAATGGATGAGGTCTACTTGAACAACCTGGATGTGAGTGGGGGTAATGAAGGGCAAGGGTCGAGGGAAAGAGAGTTTGGGGGAGTGGGAGATCCCAGCTGGATCAAGAACAGAGAGGGAGAACAAGGAATAAGGGACCATGATAAATGAAGACCACATGAGAATAGGAAGAAGCAAAGTGCTAGAGAGGTCCACAGAAATCCACAAAGATACCCCCACAACAGACTGCTGGCAATGGTCGAGATAAGCCCGAACTGACCTACTCTGATGATGGGATGACCAAACACCCTAATTGTCATGCTAGAAACCTCATCCAGTGACTGAGGGAACTGGATGCAGAGATCCATGGCCAGGCTCCAGGTGGAGCTCTAGGAGTTCAATTGGTGAGAAAGAGGAGGTTTTGTATGAGCGAGAATTGCTGAGAACAAGATTGGAAAAAGCACAGGGACAATTAGCCAAACAAATGGAAACACATGAACTGTGAACCAATAGCTGAGGAGCCCCCAACTGGATCAAGCCCTCTGGATAAGTGAGACAGTTGATTAGCTTGATCTGTTTGGGAGGCATCTAGGCACTGGGACAGGGACCTGTCCACAGTACATGAGCTGGCTGTTTGGAACCTGGGGCTAATAGAGGGACACTTGGCTCAGCCTGGGAGGAGGGGACTGGACCTGCCTGGCCTGAATCTACCAGGTTGAACTCAATCCCCAGGGAAGTCTTTGCCCTGGAGGAGATGGGAATGAGGGGTTGGCTGGGGGGAAGGAGGGGGGACAGATCAAGGGCATCAGTGGCTGATATGTAAAATTAAATTTAATTATAAAGTTAAAAAGAAAGAAAGAAAGAAAATTGGGAATCAATCTACCTCAAGACCTAATGATACCACTCTTGGGCATATACGCAAGTCATGCTCAATCATACCAGAAGAACATTTGCTCAATTATTTTCATAGCAGTTATTCATAATAACCAGAACCTGCAAACAACCTAGATGTTCCTCAACCAAAGAATGGATAAAGGAAAGAAAATGTGGTATATATACACAATGGTGTTATCAGATTGGTGAATACCCTAACTGTCATCATAGAGATTTCATCCAGTCACTGATGTAAGCAGATGCAGAGATCCACAGCAAAACACCAGGTCAGACTCTGGAAGTCCAGTTGAAGAGAGGAAAGAGTGATTTTATGAGCAAGGGTGGCAGGGGGGTCATGATCATGAAGGGGAAATCAACAGAGAGAACTGAAACAAGCTTGTGAAAGTCATGAACTTTAGTTCTACAACTGTGGAGCCTGCATGGGACTGTACTAGACCCCCTGCATATGGGAGACTAGGCCCTTTGCATATGGGAGTTAGTTTTGTAGCTTGGTTTCTTTGAGGGGCCCCTGGCACTGGGATTAGGATCTGTCACTAGTACGTGAGCTGGCTTTTTGATGCCTGTTACCTATGGGGGGATGCCTCGCTCAGTGCTGATATAGGGAGCAGGAGATTGGTCCTGGCTCACTTGAATGTCACAGGCTTTGCCTACTCCCCACTGGAGGCCTTACCCTTTTGGAGGAGAGGAAGGAGTGGGTCATAGGGAAGGGGTAGGGGGAGAGTGAGAAGGAATGAGAGGGGGTCTGTGGTTGGTATGTAAAATGAATAAAAAATTTAAATAAAAATCAATTTTGGCAAATTGTTTATTTATAATAAAATAAACGTATGTAGAGAACGTCTTATAAAAAGGAGAGAAATACCATTAAAAATTTGGTCCTTATGTAATTTAATTTCAAATGTTCTGATGCCATTGCACAGTGAGGAGTCACCTAAAGCTGTATCTAAAGTATAACAAGGAAGTAAAAATGAAGACACTCAGGCTGGAAATTGTCAGTCAGATGAAGAGAACGTTCCTTCACAGGATGATAGGAAGGCTGTTTCAGAGGACAGTGAAAGTGAGGAAAGCAAGATAGTGGAGATGACTCTCCTCCTTCATCAGATGAAACAGAACCAGAAATAAGAAAGGCTGAAAGGAAAACTGCATGTTTAAAAATACAAGAGCATCTGAGACAAAGAATAAAAAAGGAAAAAGAAACTTCCCAGTAGAGAAATGGTAAAATAAAGAAAGAACATAAAAAAGAAATCTTCCCAGTATTAAGAAGGAAAGAAGAAAGAATTAAAAGAAAAATCTTTGCTATAAGAAATAGGGAAAGAAAAGGAATTATCCTATTAGAAAAAAATGGAAATATTTAATTATGGATATATGGTACCAACTTATGATGGAGTTGAGGAATGGTTGCCTAAGGTTATAAGAACATCCCCACAGGTGTCCCCTGTAACTATGCAGCAAATGCCTGAAAATAATCATTATCCTCAAGGATTATTGGATTCTGGTCCTGATGTATCTATAATTTTACCAGAATCCTAGGATACAATCTGACCTTTACAAGAAGTCGCTACTCAATTTGTAGTTATTGAAACCGTATCCGAAGTAAAACAGAGTGTAGAGTAGTTTAAATGCATAGGACCAGAAGGAGAAGAAGGAATATTAAAGTCTTATGTGCCTGTCATAGCCATGAGTTAATGGGAAGAGTCTGGTTACAACAATGGGGAGCTGAAATTAA